CAGGCTGCTCCTTGGAGGCAAGGATTCTGAAGCTTCGTCTGACATACTTTGGACATGTTGCAAAGAGGGACCAGTCATTGGAGAGGGATGTCATACTTGGGAGGGTGGAGGAGGGACAGTGCAGGAGAGGAAGACCCTCGATGAGATGGATCGATTCAGTGACTGAGGTAACGGGGGTAGGTGTGTCAGAGACAATAAGATTGGCACAGGATAGAGCAGAGTTCAGGGCTGTTGTGCATAGGGTCGCTATGAGTCACATATGACTCGACAGCACATAACAACAACAGCAACCAGTGTCACTGAAATGTGGACCTAGAAACTTGAATTAGTGTATGCTTTTTCAGTGTATATCCTCAACAATAGCGAACATTATTTCTTAGGGTCCAAACTCAAGCAGATCAAAGATCATGAGGATGGCTCAGGGTAGGGCAAGGTTCAGACTTTTTGTTTACGGGATCCCCATTGTCAACTTGATGGCACAAAATAAAGATGCGAGAATCAAACGAGCACTTTGCCAACTATCTGACACAGAAAGCGTGCACCAAATGATGGCTGTAGTTTTTATTATGAATGCCAAGTGGCCCCTAGAGCCAGAAACAACATTTTTGCTTCCAGGAAAATTCTTGGAATTGCTTCAAAGAAAACCTGTGAGCTTCAAGGGAAGAGGTGAAGGATAAGTGATGTGTGGGAAAAGCTGTGTGTCCTGAGTTAGATTGCGTCCAACTCAGAATCTCTTGTCAGGATGACGTGGCTTTGGGGCCAGTACCACCAAAAGCAGCCACTGCCAGAGGAACAGGAGCTGGGTCACCGGATCCCACCAACAAGTTCTTATCTACCAGTGTCACTATCCAAGGTGCTGAAAACAGCCTTAATCCTGGGTTCCTCCTCCTCAGGCACACCCAGGAACCACCCAATTCCTATGCCCTGGTCCTCCTTTCAGCTCCATAAGTGTAAGCTAAGCTTGGTGATTTAATTGTTAAAGGATCCACAGTTAACCAAAATGGTAGTGGTTCAAACCCACCCAACCATGCTGCAGGAGGAAGTCCTGGAGAGCTGTCCTGTAATGATCACAGTCTGAGACTCTACGGGCCAGCTCTACTCTGTCACATGGAGAGTAAAGTAGTTGCTATGAGCAGACACCCTCTTGATGGCACCCAACAACAACATGTGGGGAGGGAAAAAGAAAAATAATTTAGACAGTGCCAGGCATCCACAGCTTATAGGGAAGGTAATTCAAGCACATGCAAATAATGCCTTAAGAGAATGAGGACAAAGGTGAGGGGGCTCATTTTCTTATTTTTAGATGTCGAGTGGCATCACATTTCTCATCATCATCCTGCCTTCTTCCTGTTCTGCAACTTCAGACCCTCCCAGGCCATGCCTCTTCCATCTTTCTTGATATGACCACACCACATATGAATCTTGTACAAGGTCACACGTTTTCTAATTAAATACCAATGATCATTGCTATGGAGGAATACACAGAGAGAGGACAGAGGGTCAGGGGTCTCTGCGACGAGGAAGCTGTCTAGACGGGGGTGAGTTCCTTGTCATATTTCTGCATGCCTTCATCTGGAAGCAGCACCTCCACCGTGAAGCTGACCTTCTTGGCATGGACAAAGCTGTAGGTGTTGTCAAAGCGCAGGACATCTGGGAGGACAGAAGGACAGGTGGGTAATTGGATCATCTCTTGTCTCTGTCAGAGGGGGAGTACAAGCCTGCATTCCCACTGACCTGACTGTGTTTGCCAAGCTGGGTCAGGTTCACTACTGCTCCCTCCCGTGGGAATTGAGCCCCACCTCTCAATCAGAGCCTGTACACGGACACTGGACTCCTCCTGGCTTCAGGCCCAGGAGAGTTTTAATTGCACCAGCTGACTGTGGAAACAATGGCACTTGCGTGCTATTGTTCCCGTACCTGCACTCTCCCATGACGGGGATGTGGAGGAAGGGGAGGCTGGCACTGTCAGAAGCCTCTCAGTTCACTTGACAAAGTGGGGTGCTGGGCTAGACCAACTACGCATTTCTCCTCCTCACAACCCTCCCCCCCCCCAAGAGGCGAAAGCTATAACCTAAGGTGAACAACCTACGGCTCCAGGCTGGAAAGACATCTGTGCAAAGGCTGGCGGTTCAATTCTACCTACGGATGCCTCTGAAGAAAAATCTGGCACTCTATTCCCCAAATATCAGTCAAGAGAAGCCATAAGGGGTATAACTGTTTCTGACATAGATGTTGTTGTGTATTGTTGAGTCGGAACTGACTCATAGCTGCCCCTCCAGTGGGTTTTCAGAGGTTGTAAATTGCACTGGAGGAGATTGTCCATCTTTCACCTGCAGAGCAGCGGGTGAATTTGAACCGCGTGGCTTTGGGTTGGCAGCACAGTTCCTTCGCACCAGGCCACCAGAGCTCTCTTTCTGATCTGTACAGACTTGTCAAACTGTGGCTGGCTCAACATCTGGGTCTTCATGCAGCTACCACGAGCGGGGATGGATTGCCGGTGACTGAGATAATGTGGGTAAGTGTGTTGGAGGTGGTGAGACTGGCTCAGGATGGGGCGGGGTTCAGAGCTACTGGACATAAAGTTGCTCTGAGTTGTGAGTGACTCGATGGAAGATAACAACAACAATCACCACCAAGAGCTGAGGAAGCACTGGTGGCATAGAATGTAGTGGGTTAGTGGGTTACTCTGCTACGTGTCTCTAGTGGTTCAAATCCACCAGTGGCCTCTTGGGGGAAAGATGGGCATTCTCCTCCCATTGCAATTTACATCCCCCAGAAATCTCATGGAGCATTTCTATGAGTCAGAATCCACTTGATGGCAGAACTGAGGCCAGGCCCTCAGACCACACCACATTGCTGAGCTGTGTGGTTTTGGGTACACTTCTTCACCTCTTGGAGCCCCGGTTTCCTCACAGAGAAGATGACAGTTAATTGTTCTGACTTACAATGACCCCTATATGCAGAGGAGACCTACTCCATAGGCTTCTGAAGGTTGTGACTTTTCAAAAACAGATTGCCAGTCCTTTCTTCCGAGGTGCCTCTGAGTGGCTTTGAACTGCCAACCTTTCAGTAGCAGTTGAGTTTTTAACCATCTGTGCCACCCAGGGACTCCCTGGAGAAAATTACACCTGTCCTCTTGTCCTTTGTGTCTAGTGGCCCGAGTCCTCTCAAACTCTTTGGAGCCTGCATGTCTGCATCATCTCTGACACATGGGAGGTGTGAAGTGAATCAGCGCCCATGGAACTAGATGACTCTAAGCTCGGCTGTGTGTCCCTGGGGACAGTCACTGCCTCTCTGTTTTTCTCTAAAACACGGTATGGTCTTTCTAGACTTACAAACACCCGCCTCTGAGCAGGTGAGGCTCCCATCCTCGGGCACCATGTGGGCGTTGTAGCGTTGGCTGGCCACCACCTCTGTCATCTCGCCTGCCCGCTGCCGCTCCCCCATCTTGGTCTTCAGGAAAACCCCAAAGCCGATGTCCGCCCCATCCGAGGCAAACTGCCACCTGTGGGGTTGGGTGTAGAGTACAGTCTCTGCTTAGACTGGTGGGACCGCCAGGGAATGAGGGGGCTCCCGCAGGGGGGTTGTGAGGGTGTCCTGTCCCTACCTGAGGACACATCCTGGAAACAAGATCTCGTACTCCACCTGGTGTGAGGAGCCGCGGCTGATCTGCACCGAGTGCTCGTACTGGGTCTTCACCTGGTCCCGCACGTACATGGACTTGGGGATCTCCCCACCATAGTTGATCTGCAAACGTTGAGAAAGATGGGCTTGCTCCTCTAAGGCCATGGTCACGTTCTTTCCCCTGCCTGAGACACCGCATCATCTCCAAGAAGTATCCTGCTCCTCTGCCTTGTCTTTACCTCATCTGAGAATCGCTGACTGTCCTTCTGGCTGAGACCCCCACAGTTCCCCAGGTTCTTCTTCCTTGATCCCTTTGGGTCAACACTGCTTCTTGTTTGCCTGCACTATTGCTAGGGCTATGGGAGGGCAGAGCTGGGATGGTCTTGCTCATGGGGTCACTCCACAGATGTTTGTGGAATGAATGCACACGTGGGGAAAGGGATGCATATTTATTCGCTCCCCTGCTCTTGGGAATTTTGGTACCTTGGTCAAACATTTGGGATTTCCATCTGGATCAGTCAGGGTTCCCCCAAACTGGGCAGGCAATTCCTCAGGGCTGATTAGTTTCAGCAACCCTTCCTTCCAGTTGCCTGAGGGCAAGAAGGATGAAAGGTGGTCAGAAGGCTCTGGGGAGCCGAGGCTGCTGCGACCAGTTTACCAACAGCTTGGGCCTTAGGCTGTAGGAAGTGTTTACTCTAACCTCATGTTGCTATAGAAACATGACATGATTCCCCATCTTTCATTTTTTAAGTGTTTTAAAATGATGGTACATATAACACAGACAGTATCAATTTTGGGGGGGTTAGCAGGAATGAGAAGGGAGGGAGAGGGAAGCAAAAACTGATAAACAGGTAAGTTGGGTGGAGTGAAAGTGAATATACAATAAGGGATGATGAAATATTACAATTAATGACATGAATCAATTGTAATTAATGTCATGAAACAAAATGCATATGAATGATTGAATGAAAACCAGCACGATTTGTAAACTTTGACTCACATTAAAAAGAAACAGAAAAATAAGGGAGCTCTAGTGGCAAGAAGCTGCACTGCAATTCCAGAGGTACGTAGTTCGAATCCACCAGATGCTCTGCTGGAGAAGGAGGGGCAATCTCCTCCTGTACCAGTCAGATCCGATTTGACGGTACACACCACCCCCCAAATTAAAAAAAAAAAGAAACAGAAAAATAAATAAAATGGCACTGAAAAGGAAAAAAATGTATATATACATGTGTGTCCGTGTATATATATGTATGTGTGTATATGTATATATGTATGTATGTGTATATATTTGTAAATATATATATATGTATGTGTTTGTTGTTGTCATGTACTATAGAGTCAGAACAGACCCTCATAACTGATGCTCAGGTGGGTTTTCAGAGGCAGTTAATCACACGGGAGGAGATTGTCCATCTTTCTCCTGCGGAGCAGCTGGTGGCCTTGAACCGTGTGCCTTTGGGATTGCAGCACATGTTGTAGGTGCCACTAGGCCACCAGAGCTCTCTCTCTCTCTTTCTCCATGCTCAAAAAACCTCACTGCCATTGAGTGAGACCTAACCCATAGCTGACCCTCCAGCAAGTTTTTTTTGGAGCTGTAAATCACACAGGAGATTGCCCATCTTTCTCCTGAAGAGCTGCTGATGGATTCGACCGAGACTCTTCTTCTCGGGCCCCCCTCCTCTTCCCATTATTCTTCTCCATCCTCCCCAGAACAGGTTGCTAGTACTGAGGTAAGCTGTTACTGTTGTTACGTGCTGTTGAGTCGGAACTGACTTCAGTGGGTTTTCGAGGTTGCAAATTACATGGGAGGAGACTGCACATCTTTCTACCTTTCTAGCTGGTGGATTAAAACCACCTGCCTGTGGGTTGGCATCACAACCAGAGCCACCTGAGGTAATGAGTACTAAAAAAAACCTGAGACCTAGTTCAAAGGTTGGCTAGAAGCTAAACTGAAACTAATGAGACAGTTGTGGAGACTTTAGTCACCAAAGGGATATGGAAGAACGCTGGTAGCTGGAGAAACTCTTGTGTAACACTACCCTCATGTTTGGAAAGGATGAACCTCTGACCTCAGATCATGGGTAGAATTCTGGATAGGATGAATGACCAACTTCCCTCTAAATCTCATGCACAGAGCTCAGAGGATGGTACCAAAACTACTCACTTCCAAGCACGACGATTTTCCTGCGTGTGTCTTCACTCAAGAAGGGTTTCATGAGGTTGTAGCCCACAGGGAAGAGTTTTGTAGCTGGAGAGACAAAACCCAAGAATAATGGGGAAGAAAAGAATCCCATTGGGCCATGTTCCATGAATCATAACTAGTAACGTAGAGTGTCATGAATAACGCTGTCCAGTTTTAGTGCCCTGCACCCACTCGACCAACTTACTATCAGTTAACCAACTAACAAGCCAACCACCCAATCAACCATCTCCAAAGTCATCCAGTCTATCAACTTGCCAACAAACAAGCTAATCAACTACCTAACCAAACAATTAGCTAGCTAACCAAGCAATCCTACTAAACATCTAAGCAACTATCCAACAAGTGAGCCAATCAGACAACCATTCAATTAAACAACCAGCTAACCAGTTATCAAACGTCTTTTTTTTTATTGTATTATTTTTACGTGTACCGTCAAATCAGATCTAACTGGTACAGGAGGAGATTGTCCCCTCCTTCTCCAGCAGAGCATCTGGTGGATTTGAACTGCATACTTCTGGGATTGCAGTGCAGCGTCTTGCCACCAAACTTCTTTTACTAGCTAGGCAATCATCCTATCAGGCAGTCAACCATCAAAGATTCAACCAAAACCAAATCAGTCATTGAATGAACTAATCTGTAACCAGCTACTCAATCAACCAACTACCCAAACCTTCAAACAGTCACTCAATCAACCAGCCAGTCAACTAACCAAAAGTCATTTAACTAACTAGTCAATTAGTCAAGCATCCAATTGACCAACCAGCCAGCCAATCATCAAACACTCATCCATTCACTCACCTGCCCACCCAAACAAAGACACAAATACTCAAATATATTTTGAGCACCATGGTGGTCCCAAGCCCTTGGAGGATACAATTGATGTCGTTGTATTGTTAGGTGCTGTTGAGTCATATATGACTCATAGCAACTGTATGAACAATCGATCTGAACACTGTGCTATCCCATGCCCTCCTCACAATTGCCAACACACTCAAGTCCATTTGCCACAGTCTCTGTGTCAACTTGTCTGGTTGAGGGTCTTCTCTTTTGCCTCCCTCCATTATCCTAAGAATGATACAATTAGAAGTGAAAAATCAGAGCACCTGCCTTCCAGGGAGCAGATAATGCAGCCAAGAAAATATTGTGGGGTCTCTACAAAGCAGAACATGGAAAGACAAGTTTGGACTGCTCTATCTGAAAGTGCCAGAGGAAGTCCATGGAGGGAGGAATCAGCATGGGCAGGGGGAGGAGAGAGAGATTCCTGGAAGAGCTGAGGTCAGAGCTCGCTCTTCTTGAAGAGAAGACAACCTCAGTAGTTAGCACTTACGGAATCCTCACTCTGTGCAGACAATCTAAGAGATTTGCATGCAAGCCAAGCACCAATCTGTCTTATAACAACTCTGGGAAGAAGAGACTGCTTTCATCCCTACGCTACAGATGAAGAAACAGGCATAAAAAAAAGCCAAAGTTATTCACCACACACCTTTCACGATGAGCATGAACTTCAGGGTCTCAGGGTAATTCTCTTCCAAGAGGCCAAAGAACTATGGAACCAAGAGAGACCCCATCAGACTTCACATCTCTTCTTCTGTCCCATTTCCTCTCCAGTCTTCACTCTGGTTAGAACTGAGGAGGGTTTGCCTTCTTGCCATCAACCCTGCCAGCCTCTGGAGGGCACCATCTCCCCTCAGAGCCTAATAACAATAATTACATAATACTCTCTATTTTTTGGAGTAAATATTGTCATGATGGTAGTGTCGTCATAATCGTTGCTGTTTGCCATCAAGTTGGAACTGGCCCATAGTTGACCCTTCAGCGGGTTTTCAGAAGCAGTTAATCAAACAGGAGGAGACTGCCCATGTAGCATGGAGCAGTGTGGGTGGATTTGAACCGCAGATCTTTGGGACTGCAGCACAACGACGTACCACTAGGGCACCAGCACCTAACTAGCGATGATTGCTGCTTATTATTAAATGCTTGCAATTTGTCAAGCTCTTGGTAGATCCTTCATATGTGCTTAATGTGATGTTGTTGTTGACTGCCTTTGAGTCGAGCACGACTCATAGCGACACTATGAACAAACGGCCTGAAGCCTTTCTGTAACTCTCAACATTTATCAAAGTTCACAGAGTTACCAGAGGCATATTGTTTATGAAGTGGATGCCACATCCTGCTTAGTATGCTACTGAATATTAATATCCTGAATCTGAATCTGAATAAGGATACGGAAGTATCCCTATATCACTCTGAGATGCAGATTAATGCTATCCTCATTTGGTAGATGAGGCAATGGACACATAGAGGTGATGAAGTGACTTGCTGGAGTCATGAGTTGGGGGTGGTAGGACAAGGAAGAATTTGTCAGAGGCTGGACCCTGTGGTCTCAGCAGTGTAAACACATGGTCTGTGAGATCTTTTCTCAAAACTAACACTCAATCAACTCGTGGCTGACCCTTCAGTGGGTTTTCAGAGGCTGTAAATCACACAGGAGGAGATGGCCTGTTTTCTCCTGAGGAGCAGCTGATAGATTCGAGCCACCTGTCTTTGGGTTGACAGTGCCACTCTTTTCTCACTAGGCCACCAGAACCTGTGGGATCTACCCCCCACCCCCCCAAAAAAAAGTGTATTCAAGAAGCAGCTGCACTACCATCCCAGAGGTGTGTGGTTTGAATCCACAAGATGCTTTGCTGGAGAAGGAGGGACAATTTCCTCCTTCCATCCAAGGTATGGATGTTGAATTTTGTCGAATGTCTTTTCTGCATTTGACAAAATTCTGCCTTTTACTAAGACCTGGCTCTGAACAAGCAGCAAAGTCATAAAAGACTAAGCTGGTCACCAAAGCAAGTTGGGCCCACAGGCCTTTTCCTACCTCCTGGTACACTTCCACCAAAGGTTTCCAGAAGTGCTTCAAGCCCAAGCCCTCACAGTCGAATATCATTACAATGGTTTCGATCTTCTTCCCGAGCTGTGAAAATGAGAGAAAGACATGGTTCCAGAGTTCAAGACGCAGGCTCAGAACGTGGGAGACAGTGACCCTACCATATGACCCCTCAGGGTTTCTTCCAGTCCCTCATTTCTGTTCCTATAGGGGCAAGTGGATAAAGCAGAGAGTGCATTTCCTTATCTAGTCATCCATCCATCCATCCATCCATTCATCCATTCTATCATCCATCTACCATCCATCCATCCATCCTCCATCCTCCATCCACTATCCATCCATCCATCATCCATCTATATCCATCCATCCATCATCCATCATCCAGCCAGCCAGCCAACCATCCATCCATAATCCATCCATCCTTCCAACCATCCATCCATCCATCCATCCATAATCCATCCATCCTCTAATCCAGTCTTCATTCCACCCACTGGTCCATTCATCATTCCACCCACCCATTCATCAATTCACCATCAATCCGTTTACCCATCCATCCATTTTTATGGCCAACTGCCTAATTATCTTTCCATTTTCCCCTGCCAATGTTTATTAAGCATATATTTGCATCCCAAACACAGTTCTTGCCCTTAAAGGCATGGAGAGATTAAAAAAAACCCAACAGGTTATCATAGCCCAGGGATAAATGCTGTATTGGATCACTACAAGTGTTGTGGGAACACAGAGGAGGGTGTTTAAGTCAGATGGGAGAGTCTGAGAAGGTGATATCTAAGTTTGAGAACTGAGGGATAAATAGGAGAGAGCCAAGTGAAGTGTGGATGGGGTGGGGATGGTGGGAGGCTGATCCAGACAAAAGGAATGGCTTGTGCAAAACTCAGAGGAAGTAAGTTGCCATTGTTAAGAAGTATTTCCTGTGTGCTAAGACATGTGCTTCCATTGTCTTCTTCAGTCTTCTCAATCATTATTTACTGTGACTTCTGAATGTAGCTGAGGAATCTGAGACTCAGAGAGGTGAAGTGACTTTCTAAGGCCACACAGCAATTGATAGAGCTCGACTTTGACACATCAACCAGGCCACACTCTGCATGGTTCTGCCTCAACCCCCTGTTTCCTTTCCTGCTCCTTCTCGCTTGTCCTTGGCCTCACCCGCTCGGTCTGCAGATCACACTCGTGAAGAATGCGTTCGCAGTCCCTCATCTTGGTCTTGAGCAGATCCTGCTTGGTGGCGGAGAAGAGCAGGCCCTTAGGGTCGAGTGGTCCGATGATGTCGTACCACACGGGACAGCCATCTCGGTCGTAGCCACATAGGCCCCCTGGCATGTACTTCTGGATTGCCTAGGAGAGGAAAGACACATAGAACTCGACATGACACACCTTCCTGGAAACCTCGACAGCAGCTGACTTGGGGACATGAGCTTAGGCACTCTGTACAAAGCATTATCCTCCCTTAGACAGCAACACTGTTGACCTAGGTGAGACACTTGAAGGTCCCATGGGAGAAGACCTTGCTCCGTGCTCATAGTGGGCAAATGCCAAGGTCAGGGCTTTGGGCAGTCTAGACTCTCAGTCTCTGGGCACCTTAGTTTGGCCCTCTCACCATGTCTCTCATGTCCCTTTCCACCAAGGAGGTTGGGCTCAGTGATGTAGTATATGCATTCTGTAGGTTGGCAGGCCTGATTCTAAGAAAGATTCTGCTGCTGTGTGTCTTTGGGCAAGTGACACTACCTCTCTGAGCTCCATACTCCCTCCCATTTTGTAAGATAGTTTGGAAAATTCCTCCTTCTTGGAACTATTAGAAAAACTCCTCTAGATAACATTGGCAAAGCACAGGGTCCCTTCCAAAGCATATGGCCCGCAGATGAAACTGTGATTGATATTATAGTAAGGTGGCTGGTGGCCTAGGGGTAAGAAGCTGAGCTGCAATCCCAGAGACATGCAGTTCGAATCCACCAGCTGCTCCACAGGGGAAAAATGGTCAGTCTCCTTCTGTTGGAAAACCTGCCAGAGGGTCAGCTGTGATTTGGTTCTGGCTTGATGGTATGCAACAACAATAATAAGAGTGGGGTGTTTAAACTGTTACACTAAATGTCCAGGTGAAAGGAAATTCTTTCCTGTCTATAAGATGTGTTGAGCAAGATTCTATAGGAGAAAGGGGCAGATTAATAGCAGTGGTTTCAAGCAAAGTTAAAATCCCAGCTCCAACATGGGGATGTGGGACTCTAGGCAAGCTATTCAACCTTGCCTGAGCCTCAGTCTCCTCACCTGTAAAATAAGAATGACAGTACCCACCTCTTACCGTTGAAATTGTTACATGAGCTCATACAGGTAAAGTCTTAACTCAGGCTTGGATCTTGGAAACCATCCCCTGCCCAGGAATGTCCATCAATATTTTATTATAGAAAGGTGCCTACAGGCCCAGGAGGTCCATGCCCTTCATTCGTGGTCTCCAAGACCCAGAGGCTGCCTGGGTGGTATGTTGTGAGAAACCAAAGCATGTGGGGTGTTGAGCTCACCTCTGGAGGCTGCCAGTCCAGGATGTGATCAATGTCCATGGTCTTCCGGAATTCCATGTACTAGGGGGGAAATATATGCTAAGGCCCCTCTGGACGCCCAGCATCCCAGAAGAGGTAGGGACTTGAAGCATGGATTATCCCTCAGGAAATTTCTCCCTAAACCCCCAGGGTGGATGAGTCTCACCTTTCGAAGCATGGCCTCTGATTTCTGCAGGTCAAAGTTCCGAGCTAAAGGAGATGAGAGGAAGGCATGAGGAAGAAAGGTGCTGGGTGATAGTTCTCTTGTCTTACTCCTTGGCAGTGAGAGCTATGAAGGGCACTGGGGAACCAGGTGGGGGCTTCCCTTTCCTACTCCTCCTCCCTCCAGGAGCAAGATGTGGGAATCAAGATGATGTGGTCAGATCCGAGGACCCTGGACCACTCCGGAGCACTCGAGACCAGGATCCTCCCACTGCCCTCTCACCCTCACCTCTTCCACCTCTGCTCTCACCTCGGAGCCAGCGCAGAAGGAAGTAGTCATCAGGGTTGGGAAGTGCAGGTAGCACGTCTTGGACATTTTCTCGGAACTGGGAAGAGAGACAGTAAACCTTGGCCTTGAGTCTTAATAATTATTCACCATCCTTCCGATCTTCTCACCCATGCAAATGGAAGGGTTGGTAGACGAGGGGATAGAAAGAGAAATTGATGACTTAATGGATGGTCAGGCAGATGGATGGATGTGCAGATGGATGTATGGACAGGTAGATGAATATAAGAAATGAACAACAGATGATTGGATATGTGAATGAGAGTGGGTGGGTGGATGAATAAGGGGTGAATAGAAGGAGGGTGAGCTGGATGGGTGACTAGTTAGAAAAAAGGGTGCTGAGAGGGATGGATGGGTGAATGGAAGAAAGGATAAATGAGTGAGAAGATGGGTGGATGGATAAAGAATTAATTATAAAGAAATGAATAGTTAAATAACTAAAGATAAGTGGTCGGTGTGAGTGGGTTATTGTTGTTAGGTGCCATCAAGTTGAATACAACTCAACCGAATGAAGAATAGGTCTGAACTCTATCCTGTGCCATCCTCACAGTCTTTGACACACTCATTGCTGTAGTCACTGTCAATCTTCCTCTTCTTTCCTGTCCATTCACCTTTCTGAGCATCATGTCCTTCTCCAAGGAATAGCTTCTCCTACTAACATGCCCAAAGTATGTGAGATGAAGCTTTAGCTTCGTTGTTTTCGATGAGCACTCTGGCTGCGCTCTGTCTGAGACGTATCTGTTTGTTCTTTTGACAGTTCATGGGATATTTAGTACTCTTATCCAACACCACAATTCAAAGATTTCAATTCTTTTTCTGTCACCTTCATTCATTGTCCAGCTCTCAGATGCATAGTAAGTGACTGAAAAGATCATGGTCTGAATCAGGTGCACCTTAGTCCTCAACCTGACATCATCGCTCTTCAAGAATTTGGAGAAGTCCCTGATTTCACTTCCCAAGTGCAATACATCTCCTGATCTCCTGACTGCTGATACCAAGTGTACTGATTATAGATCCAAGTGAGATGAAGTAGTTGACAGTTTCAATCCTCTCTTCATCCATCATGATGCTGGAGTAGGAGATGAAGTATGAATGTATGTTTAGTTCTCTCCATGTCTTAGCCTCTCCTTTCTTTAACCTATTTTCTGGAGGCCCCTTTCCCTTTTTACTTTTTACCACTTTTCTCTTTTTACTGTGGAACAACTGATTCAAGCCATTGTCTTCCCAACACCTGCTATGTTTCTGATATCTAAGAGCACACAAAGAGAACTAAGAATACATTCAATTGACCAGCCCATCTGAGAGCTGAACTATGAATAAGGATGACAGAAGAATCACTGCCTTTGAATAGTGGTGTTAGAAAAGAGAGCTGGGAGCTCTGGGGGCCTAGTGGGGCAAGAAGCTGTACTGTAATCCCAGAAGTACGCAGTTCAAACTCACGACATGCTCTGCTGGAGAAGGAGGGGCAATCTCCTCCTGTACCAGTCAGATCCAATTTTATGGTACACACACACACACAAAATAAGAAAACTTTTTTAAGAAAGAGAGCTAAATATCTCAAGGACTGTCAAAAGGATAAACAAGTATGTCTTGGAGAATGCAAGCAGAGTGCTCCTTCATCTCACATACTTGGGTCATTTTGTTAGGAGAACGGTTACTCCTTGGAGAGGGACATCATGCTTGGAAAGGTGATACAGGGACTGTGCTAATGGGCTCCAGTGTGTCGAGGATGATAAGGATGAACAAGACAGAACAGAGTTCAGATCTGTTGTTCGTAGGATCACTATTAGTCTTACTCAACTGGACAGCACCTAACAACAACAAAGGAGAAAACAATGGACCTGACTATTTCAGGCTCATAGGGACATATTTGTCATTCTTGAAGACTGTGCCTCAGGAAGGGAGGGAGACCCAGTAAAAGGGCAGACCATGACACCCTTTAGCTGACACGTATGGAGCGGGGAGGAGGGAGAAGGGAGCCGAGCTTCCACATAAAGCTCAGCAAGCCCGGCTCCTGAGTGAGGAGAAGCCAGGCCGGCTCCTGAGCAGCCACCATTCCCCACCACTGCCCAGTGCTGTCTTGGCTTCTGAGCCAACTTCTGCCTGAGATAGAGCTGATGTTACCAGGCACGGTAGAATCTACAGGCGTCAACAAATAGAGAAATTGTTAAAGGGGTTTATTACATTGACAGATTAGTTTGACCTGTTGAACCAACAGATGAGGTGATGGGGAGTATGAATTCTGATCACCTGCCTGCCCTTTAACTCCTTCCCCAGGGGCTTCCCAGGAAAGGGGCTCTCACCTTGGCCAGGGTCTCCGCCTGCTTGGGGCTAAGGTCTCCAACGCGGCCGCTCATGGTACCAGAGGAGGCTCGGGGAGCAGTGGCTACTCCAGGAGGAGGTCAAGTCCAGTCTCTCGGGCCTGACCCAGCTGGGGCCTTTTGCCCCCACTCCTGGGCGTGGCTCCAAGCACCTCCTCCTTGGCCAACTGTTTGGATTTCACATTACATAATTGGGATTAAGTGAGGTCCCGTGTTTGGCTCCAGGACAGGCTGGGGGCCATGCAGGCGCCGGAGAGAGTGCCAGAAGACTTCTTCAAGAGAAGGCAGCTGAGAGAATGGGGCTGGCTTACACCGGCCCGGCCGGGACACCAGAACGAGTTTAGAACTCTTATCAACACTCCCAGGCCTCCAGAGACCCAAGGGTGATCTCATAATTAAAGGCTAGCCTCTGCCAGCACCCTGTTTCTTTGGGCCTCAGTTTCTTTATTTTGCTTATGAAGGGATCCCACATCAGGTATTCTCCAAACCCCTCCCCTACGCCAGATCTAATGGGTCTGCTGATGACCGGTTAATATACACTGTTGACGGTTAGTCGGCACGTGTCCTACTCTAACAAGCATCTACAGTTCAGAAGAGGTCAGGCTTGGACAGAAGACTTCAGAAAAACAGGGCTCAGAAGGTGTCCGTGGTGAAGGTTTGCTTCCCATGGAGCAGAAACAACTTGCATGTAAGTCTTTCAGGTCTACACCAAAGAGCCCTTTAGCACCCATCATGGGGTGGGCCCAGCACCTCAACCCTGCTTCCTTCTCCTCCCAGTGTGAGGTCATTGAGGTCACCTTGTCCAGGGCCTCTTGTCTCCAGAGACTTGATCAGACATCAATGGCTGGCCTGAGGGAAGAGGTGAGAGTGTTGATGGCCATGGGAGATGAAGATGGTTTGGGAAGCTTCAAGCCATTGGTCTGTCAGGAGTTCCCAGGAGATGCAAGCAATTAAATGCTTAACTGCTAGCTGAAAGGTTTGCACTCACGCAAGGCACTGTGGGAAACAGGCCTGGTGATCTGCTTTGAGAGGTCACAGCCTCAGAAACCTTTTGAATCCATTCTGCTCTGCACACTTGGGTTTACACGAGTTGGACCTGGTCCTCTGGCAACTAGCAGTAACAACAAACAGTTGATAGAGTAAGAGGAGGACTTTGCTTGGGAAGGAAGGAGGAATCATCTCTGCTAGTAGTTAGGGAAGCCCAGAAGATTCCATCGACCTCTAATTTCTGTCATGCTGTCTGATGCTCCACCATTGGAGGTGCATTGCTCCCTGAAGCCTCCCTTCAACGTGGCACCTCAGAGTGCCATTCACCTCACTTATAGAACACAGGTATTCTCACTTGCCCTGCCCACCTCATATGGTTGACAGGAAGCACCAATGAGCATATGATCAAGAGCTGCTCAAGTCTCAGATCTAAGGGATTAACTTCCAGTCATTAGAAGCTCCACGGGGCAGGTGGCATTTTTGTCAATGAGTAATTCTGTGGTACAGGCTTTTTTTTAAAATTTTTTTTTGGGAAAAACATATTGGGGGTACAAGGAGGTGAGGGTTGGGGGCAGAAGGGTGAGGATGGGCCAGGATGCAGTTGCAGAGCTGCACAGTTTGGTCGGTGGGGGGAGCAGGTGAAGGAAATGATGAGGGTCCAGTGGGGACCAGATGCTACAGAGGAATGACAAGCATTTTCCAATAGTAATTAAACCAACTGTCTTATTGATTTGGGAATTGGATGCCGACTCTCTGGCTTCTTCATGCTGAACAGGGGCTTAGATATAAAGGGGGGAAGGGAGGACGCTTTATCACCTTACTGGTGGTCTTGGGTTACAGCTACTTGCCTTCTTGCTCCTGAGGGCCGCGACGGTTCGCCCCGAGCCAGGGGCCGAGGGCAGAGGGCCGCAACGGCTGAAGTAGTCTTTTTTTAAAAAAGAAGAAGAAAAAGTGTGTGTGTGTGTGTGTACCGTCAAATTGGATCTGACTGGTACAGGAGACTGCCCCTCCTTCTCCAGCAGAGCATGAAGTAGAGTCTGGGGGTTTTTTTCCCCCCCAGGTGCCTGTCGGGGCCTGGGTTTCAGCTGTCCACACCACAGCAGTGGGCAACGAGCTTAAAGCCCCTGATGGCTCTGGGCGCTGACTCTCACCAGTGGCTATGGATGAAGTCACAGGCGATTTTCAGCCAGTGCCAGCGTACAGGCTTTAATGCAAGGTCTGGTCAGCAATGGATGATGACTTGAACAATGAGGAGAAGGCCTCAGAGTTATGGTGGCCAGAGAAATTGAGAATACATTAGCTTGGGATCACAGTGAAAGCCACGTCTTCCCGAATTGAGAGGTTTCCATGGATTGGGAGTACTATTGGCTAGTGTGTTGTCAACCTAAAGGCACACAGTTCGAATCCACTATTTGTTCCACAGGAGAAGGATGGGAAATCTCCTCTGATGTGGTTTACAGCCTCTGAAAACCAGCTGAAGTATCAGCTATAAGTTGGTTCTGACTTGATGATATATAACAACAATAACAATAACAACCATGGATTGAAACCCCATATATATTAGCCTAGTCTCCCAACAGTTTAGCTAGGTTAAGACACTCTGCCTTCTACCCTGTGTCATTCTTGGTCCTCACCATTAAGTTATCATCCCAGGGTCTCTTCAGGCTAATTAAGAGGGTAACACCAGATATTTTCTCTGCTCTGGCATCCCAGAAGGACAAGGAGGGGCTGTCTCTTGGCCGTTTCTCTCTGTTTGGGCACTGCCTGTTCAGTCTGAGAGCGTTAGGTAATGCACTCGCAGCCCCGCCCCACTTTGCATTCCAACCCCATCTCTGTAGACCTCAGTTACCTGTCCACACCCACTTCCCACCAGGCAGGCAGAGGGCAGAGATTGGGTTCCTCTGCTGCCCTCTCATTAGGCCTAATCCTGCCCGTTTCCCACCCGTCTCCTGTCTCATTCTAATCCCTCTAATGGGAGGCACCCCAGCTATCGCTGGAAGAAGTAGATCTGGCCAGGGACACCTAGACTGGGCAGAGTTGTTGTTGGGTACCATAGAGTTGCAACAGACCTGTATCTTACCCTCTGGTGGGTTTTCAGAGGCAGTGAGTTGCACGGGAGGAGATTGGCCATCCTTTTCTCACAGAACAGGGATGCCAAGACCTAATTAGGAGCCATGGGCCTGGCCTTCAGAGACGGGTTAGGAGAAAACCCACCGGAGGGTCTGCTGAAAGGGTTCAGGAAAACCCCTCAGCTTTTCCCCTGACCCAGACCCCAAAGCTACTCAGAGCACCTATGGTGTCTATTACATTTACAGAACCATTCAGTAGAATGTTCCACTGTGATGAGAATGGTCTTCTCTGAGTACAGGGGGGCCAGATGCAGTGGGTGGCTACTTAGTGTCATTGAAGATGTGAAGTATTAATCAATTTTCACCAAAATGAATTCCTTTCGATGAAACCATATTGCTTATAAGGCACTCTGGTGGCTCAGTAACTAAACACTTGGCTGCTAATGCAAAGGGTGGTGGTTCAAACCCACCCAGCAGCTCATGATCTCCTCCAATAATGATTGTTGTGATAGTGGTTGTTATGTGCCATCGAATCAGAACCAACTCATAGCTGAGCCTCCAGTGGGTTTTCAAGGGCTCCATTCGCTTGGACAGAGAGAGATCTTTATTCCTTCCTTGGAGGAGCTAGAAGATTCAAACCATGAGCCTTTTGGGTTGGCAGTGCAGCACCTGCTCACTGGGCCACCAGCACGCCCTCCTGTAGCGCTCACAACCAGGAGAGCTCTGTGGGGTAGTAGTTCTACTTTGTCACGTGGGGAACAAAGTTGGAACAGACTGACTTGCACTCAGCAGCAAATGGGACTTGAGGCTTACCATGTTGAGTGATGCAGCCCAAACATTATTACTGCAACAGTTGTTGTTGCAACGTCACGTCCAACAACCCGAGGCATCCTCACCATTGCTGCTGTGCTTGATCTCGTTGCTACAGCCCTTTGAAGATCTTCCTCCCCCTGTCCGCGCTCCCTGCCCTGAGTCTGGCTACTAAGCAAAAAGTTTGAACTCATCAGCTGCTCTGGGAGTGAAAGATGGGCAATCTCTTGTTAGGATTTACAGCCTCAGAAGAAACCTGATAGAAGGGCTTCAAGAGTCAGAATTGGCTTGACATCAGTGGATTTGCCTTTTCGGTTATGTGTACTGAGGGCTCATTATGTGCCAGACCCCACCTTAAATGAAGGATCTCATTTAAACCTCAGAACACCCCTGTGAGGTGGGCAACACCCTTGAGTCCATTTTACAGATGAGGAGACTGAGGTAGCGAAAAGTTAAGTAGCTCAGTTGAAGTTAAGCCCATTTGAATAACCACTCTACTGTTGCACTTTCAGGGTGGTATACAATCTCAGCTCTAAAGACCTTCCCATTAACCAGAGACACAAAAGTCACCTTCAGTGTGATACAGGTGGTGCTTAAGTCAGACCTTGAAGAATGGGGAGGCTGTTGATTAGTGGAGGTGGGAGTGCAGAGAAGGGCATCCCAAGTGTTGAGAAAGGGTGTAGAAGGGAGACTTCAAAGGTGAGTGTAACTGGGCAGGGCTGAGGAATAGAGCAATGAGAGATGAGAAATACTGACGACGCACAGAGCTGAGGGCAAGTCTCAGATGTCCCCACTCACGGGGTGAAGTCTCTGAGCCTCAGTTTTCTCAACTCTAAAATGAAAGCAGTTAAATCCACCACCATATAAGATGCCATATAAAGCAAGCATTCATGCATCATTTTCCCCTGCAAATGTTTCCTGAATGCATGCTACGTGCTTGGCCCTACACTGAGGGCATGATTACAGTAAACAAGACGGATTTGGTCCCTGCTTGCACTGGAGCTTATACTATCCCATTTCTCAAGCCCTTTCCCAGTGATGAGAGCTTTATATACATGATCAAGCTGGTTTGAAGCAAATGCAGGTATTCCTCAGTCTGCAGATAAAAAAATTGAAACATCAGGGAGGCTAAGAAACTTCTCTGAGTTCCCATAGCCAATAAATGGAGAG